GCACCTAGCGTGTCAGCAGCAGCACCAAAAGCAGCAGCAGCAGCAGCAGCAGCAGCAGCAAAGCTTACAGAGGCGGCCATCCCGGGAAACAAAAGCTGCGTGGTTTGCCCCAATGGCCATTTGAGCAATAAAGTCCCCAGAGAAGAAGCCCCTGACTGGGAGGCCCTTTAGCTGCCTAAACTGCTGCTGCTGCTGCTGCTGCTGTTGCTGCTGTTGCTGCCGTTGCTGCTGTTGCTGTTGCTGCTGCAGCAGCAGCAGAAAGTCGTCAATGACGAACACGCGGCCGTTCTTGTCCAGCAAAAATAATTCCGTTGAGGAACACTGCACGTCTGCTGCTGCTGCTGCTGCTGCTGGCAGCGGCAGCAAAAACGGAGGGACAAACACTGCAGCAGCAGCAGCAGCAGCAGCAGCCACAGAGCAGCAGCAGCAGCAACATGGTGACAGATATCGCAGGCGGAGAAACAGCAAACCGAGAGGCTGATAACGGGCCCCAGATACGCAGCAGCAAAGTGGAACCAGAGCAGCAGCCGCAACAGAAACAGCAGCAGCAGCAGCAGCAGCAGCAGCAAACCTGGCTCGCTGTCTTGCTGCTGCAGCGAGCCCCAGACGACGCAGCTGCGGCCATCGCCCGTCAGCGCAGCGCCAAAGTTTGGCCCAAAGGAAATGGCTAGCCAGCTGGAGGCGAAGGCTGCGCAGCAAAACCCTAAACCCTAAACCCTAAACCCTAAACCCTAAACCCTAAACCGTAAACGCTGGGCCATGAACCCAGACCCCGGGGCGCTGTCCTTTTCGAGTCAAATTATCCGGTTGCAATGTATTGGGAACCTGAGCCCCATACCCAAACCCTAAACCCTAAACCCTAAACCCTAAACCCTAACCGGAGAGTGAGTCAGCCTCCGTGGGCACTTGGATGTCCGAAGGGGCTCCACCAGGGAAGCTCAGGCGGCTGCCCCATATGAAGACTTTTTGCTGCTGTTTGTGCTGCTGCTGCTGCTGCTGTTTGTGCTGCTGCTGCTGCTGTTGCTGCGCTGCGCAAAACGCGACGTGAGAGACTCCTCGTGTCCTCCAGCTGCTGAGCCGCTGCTGCTGCTGCTGCTGCTGCTGCTGCAGCTGCTGTTTGGTGGCGTAGCAACAGGCTGTCGGAGCTGCAGCACACACAGGCCACGCCTGCTTCAGTTTGCTGCTGCTGCTGCTGCTGCTGCAACTGGTGGTCTTCGCTGTTCATGGCTGTTGAGTCGAAGGTCTAGGGTTTAGGGTTTAGGGTTTAGGGTTTAAGGACTAGGGTTTGGGGATTAGGGTTAGGGTGCTGAGTGACCTGCAAACAGAGTTGCAGCTGCAACTCTCTGCAGCCCATTCATTGTCTCGAAAAGCTAGCGGGCACTATCGATTCTAGGGTCTAGGGTTTAGGGTTTAGGGTTTAGGGTTTGGGCTAGCCACAGGGAGCGCGTTGCTGCATTTCGGCTGAAATAATATATGCAAAAACACAAAAGTAGTGTTTAGGATTTAGGGATTAGGATTTAGAATATAAGGTTTAGGGTTTAGACTTCGACTCGGGGCTGCAGCCGACGGCAGTGCTAGCAGCGCATGCACACAATAAGGGTTTACGCATTAGCGTCTAGGGTTTAGGGTTTAGGGCTTAAGGTTAAAGGTTTAAGGCTGAGGGCTTAGGGTTTAGGGCTTAGGGTTTAGGGTTTGCTACACAGTTCGTTGTAAAACGCTCGCGGAAATGGAGAAACGCAAGTCTCCTCTTTCGAGGGTCTAGGGTTTAGGGACCTCCATCTAGGGTTTAGGGTTTAGGGTTTACTCAAACTTAAGGCTGGAAGCGCCACACTGCCTCTCGCCGCAAGCATGCGGCAGGTGACACGAGCAGCAGCTTCTGCTGCTGCTGCTGCTGCTGCTGCTGCTTCCGTTTACAGACAAGGCATCACATTCGTAACAGCAGCAGCAGCAAGGCAGCCAGCAGCACCGGCAGCAGCAGCAGCAGCAACAGCAGCAGCAGCGGCAAAAAGTGCAACACGAAGAGTTTGTTGCTTCCCGTCACTGCTGATTAATCCATCAGCAGCAGCACCAGCAGCACCAGCAGTACCAGCAGCAGCAGCAGCAACAACAATCAGCAGGAAGTTCAGCTCAGAGTCGGCTCCAGCAGCTGCTGCTGCAGATCCGGCAGAGGGAATATCATCTGCAGCAGCAGCAGCAGCAGCTGCTGCTGCTGCTGCTGCTGCTGAAGATGCTCCTGATTTGCCCGCGCACCTCTTTTCGAAGGTTAAATATGTTCGGGACTTTCCGCCTGTGTCGCTGCTGCTGCTGCTGCAGCAGCTGCAGCAGCAGCAGCAGGACCTGCTGCAGCAGTGGCAGGCCGAGGCATCCAACAGC